GCAATTAAAGATGTCCTACTAAGTGTCCCTTCTTCACTGACTCCAAAGATGCTTGCAGTGTTCTCAAAACTATAATGCTATGTCTAGCCCCCATGTGTGACCTATAGCTTCCTCACACTGAGGGCATTGCATACAAGGGAAGCATGGGTTTCAGACACTTTTAGAAACTCCTAAAACTCCTACTTAACTCTCTTCTCTACCTGTGGTTACACGTTATCATTCTTATTACACTATTAATGTTGTAATTTTTTTGCATTTTTCTTTTTATATATATATATTTTATTGATTTTTTACAGAGAGGAAGGGAGAGGGATAGAGAGTTAGAAACATCAATGAGAGAGAAACATCGATCAGCTGCCTCCTGCACACTCCCAACTGGGGATGTGCCCGCAACCAAGGTACATGCCCTTGACCAGAATGGAACCTGGGACCCTTCAGTCCGCAGGCTGACGCTCTATCCACTGGTTAGAGCAATTTTTTGCATTTTTCTCTTTTTTTCCCATAATTAGGATAGCCATAGGTGGTTGATGATGATGATGACTACGTTTTTTTTAAAAAAACAAAACAAACAATTCAGTTTTATTTTTCTTTTATAGTGCTACTAGTAGCCCGGTGCACAAAATTTGTGCACATTAAAAGGGAATTAATTGCCCTAACCGGTTTGGCTCAGTGGATAGAGCATTGGCCTGCGGACTCAAGGGTCCCAGGTTCCATTCTGGTCAAGGGCATGTACCTTGGTTGTGGGCACATCCCCAGTGGGGAGTGTGCAGGAGGCAGCTGATTGATGTTTCTCTCTCATCGATGTTTCTAACTCTCGATCCCTCTCCCTTCCTCTCTGTAAAAAAAATCAATAAAATATACTTTTTAAAAAAAGGGAATTAATTAGCAGAGATATTTTAATATTGCTATTTGCTCTTTCTCTATAATAGAAGTGTGAGAGATGAAAGGAAATTAGTAAAATGTATATGAAAATAATATATAAATTTATTAATAAATAAACAGTAACAAAAGGATATAACAATAGAGGCATGATATAAAAACGACAAAAACATGATATAAAAACAACAGTGAACAAACAATGACTGATAAAGTGATTAAACTTATGCTAATATCTCCCTGTACACCACATTAAGAGTGAAAACACTTTCAGAGTGCTTGACTAATTTCCCTTGTGATGAAGTACTTAGAACTTTAACTGTAACATCACATGCTCTTCAAACTCGAGAGAAAGCAACATATAACTGACCATGTGCAAAAACGGGTTCAGGCAGGAATATGCCTACTTTGTCTAGAGTTTGTCCTTGTGATTTATTAATAGTCATCACAAATGCTGGCATCACGGGAAACTGTCTTCCAATCAATTTAAATGGGAGGCCAGTGTCAGATAGGGACAAATTAATTCTTGGAATCAGAACAGCCTGTCCCTCTGTAGATCTTGTTAATACTTCAGCTTCGATAATGTTAGGTCGTAATCTTTTGATAATAAATCTTGTACCATTACAAAGACCCCATTTACTATTAAGATTTCTCAATATCATGATGATTGCACCCACTTTCAATTTTAATTTATGACACGGCATTCCCGAAGGAGTAATACTATTAAGAAATTTGATGGGAAAATTTTCCTTCTCAGCATAATCTGTGGAATCAATGGAATCATCACGCAAATACGTGTGAAAATCTCCATCGAGTATATCCAAATTTTCTTCATTTAATTTTTGAACAGGCTCTTTTGGAGAAAGAATTGCACGTTTAGATATATTTTTAATATTATCTATAGCAGTGGTTCTCAACCTTGGCTGCACATTAGAATCACCTGGGAATCTTTTTAAAATCCTGATTCCTGGGCCCCATCCTCCAGAAATTATTTCTTTGTTATGGGGTGGGGCCACAACATTAGTAACAAAGAAACAGAATTAAAACTTTATTGTGGGGAGCTGCTACAGTGTTTTGGACAGGTTCAAGCCTTGGACTGATGAGAGGGCACAGTCTTCTCATTGCCACGTGCAAGTCTCAGCTTGGAAGGCAGGGCCCTCCCAGCACAATTATAGACAACAGCTGTAGTTGTAAGCTTGAACCTATGGTCTGAACACGTGGCCCCACGTGCCTGAGTGATGTAGGCTTGATAGAGTTCAGGCGCATGTAGTTGAGTAGGATTGAAACCCAGGAGAATGTTGTAAACATCTTGGTCACGCCCTTACTTTGCCTTGTAGCTTCTGCTATAAATTAAAGGCATGGCTGTGGGCGTGGTCGCTGTCTCTCAGAGAAGCAGCGTCCCACCGAGACCCGGCTTTCATTCTCTTGTCTGTCTTTTCTAAGCTTTCAGCCGCCCCCACTCAGGTTCACCCTTGGCTGTGCTGGCGTGGCACACTTTATATAAAGACTAGAGGCCCAGTGCACAAAAATTTGTGCACTCGGGGGAGTCCCTCAGCCTGGCCTGTGCCCTCTCGCAGTCTGGGACCCCTCAGGGGATGACCACCTGCTGGCTTAGGCCTGCTCCCCAGGGGATCGGGCCTAAGCTGGCAGTCAGACATCCCTCTGGCAGCCCGGGAGCCCTTGGGGGATGTCCACTTGCCAGTGGGGAACAGGCCTAAGCTGCAGTCGAACATCCTTAGCGCTGCTGAGGAGGCAGGAGAGGCTCCCGCCACCACCGCTGTGCTGGCAGCCGTCAGCCTGGCTGTGGCTGAGCAGAGCTACCCCTGTGGGAGCACCCTGACCATCAGGGGGCAGCTCCTGCATTGAGTGTCTGCCCCCTGGTGGTCAGTGTGTGTCATAGTGATCAGTCATTCCCAGTCGTTCTGCTGTTAGGGTCAATTTGCATATTACCCTTTTATTATATAGGATAGAGGCCTGGTGCACGGGTAGGGGCCAGCTGGTTTGCCCTGAAGGGTGTCCCGGATCAGGGTGGGGGGTCCCACTGGGGTGTCTGGCCAGCCTGGGTGAGGGGCTGAGGATCATTTTCAGGCTGGCCACACCCCCTTCAGGGTGGGGGTTCCCACTGGGGTGCCTGGCCAGCCTGGGTGAGGGGCTGATGGCTGTTTTCAGGCTGGTCAAGCCCCTCAGTGGGGACCCTCACTCCATGGGGGTGTGGCCAGCCTGGGTGAGGGTCTGAAGGATGTTTTCAGGCTGGCCACACCCCCTTCAGAATGGGGGTCCCCACTGGGGTGCCTGGCTAGCCTGGGTGAGGAGCTGATGGCCGTTTTCAGGCTGGCCACACCCCCTCACGACCCAAGCTCCCAGCCTCTCTTGTTTTTCTTTTTCTTTTTTTTTTTCAGAGCCTCCTTGAGCGGAGGCCAGGGTGGAGGCTGGAAGCAGATATCTGGGATTTATTTATCTTCTATAATTGAAACTTTGTAGCCCTTAGAGAAGGCCAGAGCCGGCCAGGGCAGACAGGAAGCTTGACTTCCTCCATCACCGGGGGCAACCCAAGCCTCCTGCTCGCTCCAGCTCCGTGGCTGCCGTCATCTTAGTTGGGTTAATTTGCATACTCTCTCCTGATTGGCTGGTGGGTGTAGTGGAGTGATGGTTAATTTGCATCTTTCTCTTTTATTAGTGTAGATATGCCTCCACACTCCCAGGGCGGTTCCTGCCTCAAACCCCGCCCTTACAGGAAATAGCTCTGGGAAACAGCTTGGGGGAGGGCGCAGCCATTGCCAAGACAACCCCTGCAGGACTGACTTCCTTCCGCTTGGTCGCGGTTCTGATGGTCGTGATGAACACCACCCAGGGTTTTTATATAAGTAGATTTGATTAGAAATGTTTAAACAGAAGGGATGTTCAGTTTTATCAAATGCCTTTTGGCACCTATGGGGTCATAAATGGCTCCAAGAAGGAAAATTAGTACAATGATTGCATTAATAGATTTCCTGATATTAAATATTGAACCCTTAATAAACCCTACTTCATTAAAGAATATGCTTTTATTTTTATTTTTAAATATGTATTTATTGATTTCAGAAAGGGAGAGAGAGAGATAGAAACATCAATGATGAGAGAGAATCACTGATCGGCTGCCTCCTGCACACCTCCTACTGGGGATCGAAACCACAACCTGGGCATGTGCCCTGACCGGGAATCGAACCATGACCTCCTCGTTCATAGGTCAAAGCTCAATCACTGAGCCATGCCAGTCTGGCAAAGAATATGCTTTTAACATGATACTGGGTTCTGTTTGCTAATATTTCACTTAATACAGGCATTGATAATTGTGAGACTGGTGTGTTGTTTTCATTTGGAGGGGCCTTGATATTATAGCTAATTTCATTTGAAGGCTATAAGCTTTCTTTTTCCATGCATATCTATCCATGATCACTGAGAGACACTACTGAGCTGCTTAACCAAAGTATCTATTCTTTAATTTTGTTTGTTGCTCCCCATTGTGAATTGCTCTTTCTACCCTGAATTTTTCCTTCAAAGTTCAGATGAAAAATTAATGCCTAACCCTCTAATCCAGGAGTTGGTAAACTATGGCCTGTAAGCAGGCCACATATTTTTATAAATAAAGTTTCCTGGTAACAGACACACCCATTAGTTTAAGCATTATTTGCAGCTGCTCTCAGGGTACACAAAACCTAAAACATTACTATCTAGTCTTTTACAGAAAAAGCTTGCTGACCTGTGCTTTAATCCTTTATTCCTTTAAGCCATATCCCATCTTTTTTATCTTTTCATGCCAGAGAAAGAGTAAAAAAAGTCACCCTCACCATTGTTTTTCTAAAGTCCAGACCAACAGAAAGAATGTCTTTAGATGAAAACCTAAACCCTGGACCAGGCCGGTGGCCTTGGTCTCACCTACGGTGAGGTTTCTTCAGTGTAAAAGGTAGTATCACTTTTCCAGGTCCCCTTCTACAGTAGACTCAAGGAGTTCAAGAAGCTGCTCAATTCTTTGACTAAACTAAACTAAACTAAACTAAACTAAACTAAACTAAAATACATTCTGCATTTCTTCAAGTTAAATACAACTAGTAATTTTGTGAGTAAAATACAGTTTGGCTCCTTACTTCTGAAAGCAAACTCTCCAGAGACATAGGATCCATTTTGCTGTAGACATTCCATAGATTCAAACTCACATCCTGCAACTGCAACACAAGGGAAAAAATTTAAAGTAATACAGAGTCAATATCATTAGAGCAATCCAAATTATTTTCTGACATTCAGAAATGACTATCTTTGTGAAAATTCAAGTGATTAGAATAATAAATGTTATTTTGATCAGTCACATTAGAACCTATACATATTAATAAATGATGTCCCATTCAAGGAAACTATCTTTTCAGAAACTTTAGTACATTTAAAAAAATACATATATTTTATTGCTTTCAGAGAGGAAGGGAGAGGAAGAGACAGAACCATTGATTGGCTGCCTTCCGCACACCCCCTACTGGGGATCGAGCCCACAACCCGGGCATGTGCCCTTGATCGAATCGAACTGAGGATCCTTCAGTCCGTAGGCCGACGCTCTACCCACTGAGAGCCAAACTGGCTAGGGCCTTTAGTACATTTTTTGAATATCTTCAATGATGGGCATACATATATACATTTATATACATACAAAAGCATATACATATACTTTTTTGTCCTTGTTTAAAATAAAATTTTAATTAAAATAATACATGTCCATGGTTTTAAAAAATCAAATAGTACTAAAGGTTTGTAATTAAAAAAATTGTATTCCCATACTGCAACCTTTCACAAACCTCACTCCTCAGAGGCAACCACTTAAAAGTCTTTCAACATTTCCTTCTGGTAGTTACCTCCATATTTTATTATGATATACCTATATCTCTATTTTTTCTTTCCTTATTTTTATTATTTATTTTTTAAATTTATCTTTATTGTTGAAAGTATTACAGTTGTCTCCTTTTTGCCTGCACCCACCGCCCCACCCCAGGACTTCACCACACTATTGTGTGTGTCCATGGGTTATGCATACATGCATATAAGTTTTTTGGTTCTCTTCCCACACACCCATATATTTCTATTTTCTTGATTTACCAATTTAGAAAATAAATATTGACTTATGGCAAAGATATAGCTTTTCTACAACTATCTTCATTCCCATACATTTTCTCTACACATACACAGACACTCACACAACCTAACATCATCTAATACCATTATATGATTTTTGGTTATACCAGTAATTATTGTTTATAATATTAATACCATATATATTTTACTTATTGCTGGCCAGGTACATACTATACTACCACATATTTTAAAAATATATATATATTTTTACTGATTTCAGAGAGGAAGGGGGAGGGAGAGGGAGAAAGAGAGAGATAAACATTAATGATGAGAGAGAATCATTGATAGGATGCCTCCTGCACGCCCCCTACTGGGGATCAAGCCCGCAACCCGGGCCTGTGCCCTGACTGGGAATGGAACCGTGACCTCAACCACTGAGCCATGCCAGTGGGGCAATGTTTGTTGCTTTTTGAAAGAAAATTTCTTCTCTTCTGGTATCATTGCTCTATCTTTCTGGAACTTATACTTGTTGGCTATCAGCCTTCGTGGATCAGTTCTCCATGTCTTAACTTTTTCTCATATTTTCTATTTCCTTGATTGTATTAGTCTACATTTTGTAGAGATTTCCCTACATTTACCTTCCAAGTCCTCTATGATTTTATCAATTAAAATTTTCCAGAGCGATTTTCCTTACATTTCTTTACCACAACAAAACACTTGTTCTTTGGTTGCCAAAAAATCTTAAATTTCTCTGGGCATCCTAAGGAGAGTTTGTGCCTTAAGTTTCCTGTATATCTTAAATTATCTTGGGGTCTTATTCAGTTGGTTCTTTTTAAAAAATTTGTTGTTTTTTTTTCTTTTAGGTATTTAATCCAATGTCTTGTGATCTTTGCTGGCCTGCTTATATTTTCAAATGGAAAGGCTGATTGGAAGCTTTATGCTCTCAGCAGAGCTTGTCAACTACCAGAAGTTTTTCTGGGGAGAGCAGACAGGAAGGAGGCTGTTATTCCAGGATCCCTACCCACTTATAGTCTAAATGTCAAGATGTGGAGAGCTTTATTCTCAGGCAAGAAATGCTACACTAGCCAATGAGTTCTCTCTTTTTTTGTGTCTTATTTTTCAGTTTCTTTAGAGAAACCCACCCACTCACCCCATTCCTTGTTTTTCCTAGGGTGGAGGTGGCAGTTGGTAAATGCCTGGTTGCCTGTCACTTGGGAGACAGTGGTAGGGGTGTGGGGAAGGAGGCACAAACTATTATATAACAACTTTCAATTGATTCCTTGATTTTCAATACTACCAATTTCCACCCTTTATCCCCCATTTTATCTTCTCCTTTATTATTGATTTAATCTATTTGGTCTCTTCCTCTGTATTCTGGAATAGCTTTTAAGTGTGTCAAATGATTAGATTTTTGTGGGGTAATAGATTTGATTTCTTTTTTTTAATTCAAATTTTAATTCTATTAATGAATTTTGAGACTTATTATAATCTTTCCTTGGACGTCATCCATCTCCCTTAATTTGCTTGCCCTATCTACCATATCTCATTTCTTTTTACAAACTCCATTCTTAAAAAATACACAAGAGGTATTTTTCTCAATTTTTATTTCCTGGAGAAATCTTTTTAAAAAACATGCTGATCTTTTCCTGCATCTAATATGCTATGGTCTCTTTCTTATATCTGTTGAATTTTTTCATAAATCTTATTCTACTTTTCAATACAAAGATCTCATGTATTGAAAGGTGAATAAATGCTCGCTATATGGTTACCCTCATTATTCAGAAGTTTGCTATTAGAATCCTCTCCTTGGGGAGCTAGTTGATGTAAATTTATATTACCAGGTCACAGTTCCAGCAGCTGGAGAATAAGAAGAAAGAGGCTGGAGGCAGGGAAAGGCCTAGCAGAGGAACTTCCCTATACTGCTTCCCAGGAAGAGTTCTCTATATCCATAACTGAGTTTGGCCCAGCCTAAATACCAAGTGAATGCTATGTGGAACTGGGCTTCCTTTCTCATGCTGACATCAGGGACAAAACATCCTCTGAATTAACAACTTTCTTTTGGATATGGCCAAGCAATAAAACAGAAGTTAAAAAAATTAAGTTATATATATATCTGTAGTTTTCCTTCTCTTAGCCTTTGATATGTGAATCAGAGTGGAGGAGAGTGTATAATGCAGAGCTGATCAGTAGGCAAAACTGCTCCATACCTTAAAGGACTGGGAAGGACAGGGTAAGGAGAACTGTGAGTAGGGGGTTGTAGTGGGGAATGAGATGGAGACACAGGAAAGTATTTGAGAGAATGAAAAGTCAGCAGCTACAGAGAAGAGCAGGATCTGAGAAAGGGATCTTGAGATATTTTTCTACCCCTGCCCTTCCTGTGACCCACCTCGCCTCCCCCTTTTGTCCCCCCTCCCCTGCTCTTACTGTATGATATATGCTGTTTCCTCCTCACTGCACATCCCATCCCCTAAGAGCACTACCCTACAGTAAAGATCTACACTGTCCTGTAAAGGTTTTTTGGGAGGGGATTTTACTCCTTTGGGTTGTGACTTCATGGTGTGATGCGCCTTAAGGCAGGAGCCAGAGGGCTGCCTCATTTGGGTTGCATGAATCATGCAGCTTCCTAGTGCACTGCTTTCCAATGCTAATCTAGCAGCAGCCCAGGCTTTGAAGCCAGACTCTCTGGACTGGACCCCAGCCCTGCTGCTCTGTGACTTTGTGAAGTTCATTTAACCTCTCTGTAAAATACAGATGGTAACAGTACCTACTTTAGAGGGTTACTGTAAGAATTAAAGTCAATTCATATAAAGTGGTTAGGATAGTGCCTGATATATAGGAGGCACTCTATAAATGCCCAGTTTATATAATTAATTAACAATAAATATTATCATTATTGCTAAAAAATAGAAACTTTCTCTATATCCTATGGCATTCTCTCCATTCCAGCCCCTACTCTTCTAAATTAGAGAGCATTACTTCCTATCAGGGCAGGTCCAACACAGCCTGGTGATGCTCTGTGAGCTGTAGTCCGTGTAGGAATACTGTGGTTTTTAGAGCAGGAAAAGTGAGGTCAAGTGGTATGCTTCTCTTCAGCACTTCCCTATAGCCCACGCTCATCCACATTACAGAGTCTGCCAGGCAAACCTCCATTTATTTCCTAGGGACCTGCTACTTCTCAGAAGGAGGGTAAGAATTAGCACTGGGCCTTGCTTCCAAAGGCTCCACTTACTCTGTCCCTAATAGTACGCCTCCCTCTCCTGGTTTCCTGTGTTGTGAGCAGGTCATCTTAGTGGGGGGATCCTTGGGAGGCAAGCAGATCCTGCAGTGATGCTACTAACTTACCAGGCCATCCTCCCTAATGTGCACTCTGGATGATCTCTTCTCCCAGACTCACTCATTAACCCACTTACCAAATATTCATTGGTCATCTCCTAGGTACAAAGAACACTAAAATAAAAGGTACTGTTCTTACCAGAATAGCTAACCCTTTTATTTCTCTAGTACACGGTACTTATACAAAATTCTGCACGGTCCCTTTCCTTGCTCTTGAATAGTTCGCAAATTATATGAATATCTGAGAAACAAATAACAACAAAAAGAACACAAAGACTCTGCTTTTGTTCTCAAGAAGCTTCCAGTCCAGAGTTCAGGGGCAGGTGGTTGGGTTGGTGAAAGGAGGTATATGACAAATGTATAACAACACAAGATAAGTACTGTAAGAGAAGTCAGCTTAGAAATCTACGGGAGTAGACTGGAGAACAGTGAATTCAGAATGGAGAATGGAGAGGAAGGAGGACAGAGAACTCCAAAAAGAAAGAACACAGGAGCTCAGTTTGGGGACTAGCCTTAAACAGAAACTATTTTCCATATCAAGTATTTTAATGATGCACACCCACATTGTGGGCCCTTCATAAAAACCAGGCATACTACTTTTTATACATACCTCATATTTCATGGTAAAAAATCCATCCCCTCCAATGCCCTCAAGTGCAAAGGCCTGTACAATTGGCCATTTCTCCACTACAAACATATCAAATATCTGCAAGTGACCTAGAGGAATCAAATACAACAACATGTATCAAATACCATCCTGGATATAACAGTCTAAACCTGATCTAATGTGGTTAGACAGGCATCATTTCTCACAAGTTCACCACAGCCTCATCTAGCAAAATAAGATTGAGATAGATCGAATGGTTAGGTATTAACACTAGAAATACAAAGTTAAAGCCAAGGAAAATTCAAACCCATAAACAAGTTACATAAATTTAGATTTCTCTATAGTATATTTTCACATTCTGGTTTCCTAAGCAAGCAAGCAAGCAAATAAATAAATAAATAGTGGCCTATTACATCTGACTTGCATCAGTTAGTTGGATATAATTATTAACAGACCCAAACTTGGCTTCTCTTCCTTAAGAAACATGTCCAAACAACATCCTCAAGGAAAAATTACCAAATCAAAAATTATCCTTTCTTATAACAGTATCTTCAATGTGCAAGCTTTTTTGTAAAATAAGATATAAGCACTGTTAAATTTGTTGATTTTTTCCTATATTTTTACCTATCATTTTTGAGCCTCAATGTCAGCATATTTTTAACAGCTACCTGATTACTATTTCTTATTACCAAGAGGCTCCACATCTACACTCTATGTACACTAAGGGGTACACACTAGATGGCAACTGTGTAAATGCCCTGCCAGTTTTTCTATCTGACTGTAGGTGGCCTGCTTTGTTGCTGCAGAAACTTCGGTTATGAATACAAGCTTACATAGTTCCCAAATTCCTTTCTGCCTCAGCCTCTGACTCAGTGACAATAGATCAATGGGTTTCCCAGCCTCCAATGAAAGGAGAAGTAGGGACATGTGATTCACATACCATCCAAGCAAGGTTAAAATGTCTCACTGCCAGACACTCACCTTGGGAGCTATAAGGAATGCCAATTCTACTGCAGTCTCGAACCATGTCCACAAAGCTGGCAATTTTAAATTCTTCTGCAGCTTCCTCATCTTCATACTAAAGAGGGAAATTGAAAGGAAAACAGGCTCTGTTAAGACATCATGCAAAGTCCCATATTTTCTCTTCATTTTATCAGAGTTGCCCTCAAAGAACACTTATAGAAGACTGTACCCAAGAGGGTGTTTCCAAAGCCACATTTTGTTTGCTGGTCGAAAACACTGTCATTCCCTTACCTCACACCAATGCCCTCAAGTGCAAGTCAACTCAAAATGGACCAGAAATCTAAATGAAAGATATAAAACTTGTCCTCAAAAATTCCCCAAATACTTACATGGAAAGGATTCGTGATGTATATCAGGACACAACTGCCATGAAATCCTAAATCTCAAATCCCAATCTGATTCCTAGCCTAACCCTTGAAATGGGCCCAAAGGGAAACAGAAACAGATACCAAGAAATCTAAACATATAAATATCAGAAAGCTTATCTAATTCTCCTGGAGCAGTATGTAGGCACTAGCCCCCTGAGAGAATGTGTGCAGGCTGGTAATGAAGCAGGGTCAGAAGACAGCTTCATAAGCCTATACTAAGCCCCGATTTGAAGAGTCCCTTCTGTCTCCTTCAGGCGCACAATTTATCCATAAGGTAGCTGCATAATGAAATATAAGAAGTTCCACATTCTGCAATTTGATTTTTTTAGGGGACTCCTGTTCCAGATCTACACTTTCTTGAAAGAATATTCTTAATAGTGTCTCTAAGTGCCTATTCTATCTTTTCTCCTTACCTCATTTTCAGTCATGCAGTGCATATGCAGATTTCTCCAATGTGCCACACAGGGTATGAGATAGCGATAGTTTACAGGATTACAGTACAGATGGACACTGTCTGATTTAATTAATATAATTACATCTGTAAGAGAAACAAAATTAATAAGACACAAGATTGTTAAAGGCATTTTCTTTAGATAATTTCTGCTCACATAGTTAGTAAAACCATTAAAACGATTTAGCAGAGACAACATAATAAAACTCTAAATTGAAAATTTTTTAATCTGGCAGTGCACTACAAAATGACTGAAGAACAGTCAAGTGTGGACAGCAAGGAATTCCTCATCTCCATGTGACGTTCCCACAACTGTGGCTCTCTAGAGATGGCAATGCAGGTACAGGACAAGTAAAAAGAACATCCTTCAGGGTGTTTTGCAAAAGTGCTGCATAGTCAAATCTCTGGTACCAAACTCAGCTGTGCACTTCACTGCAGAGATAAATTCCAAATGGACACTCCACAGCCTAAAGCAAGTGAGGCAGGAAAACAGTAGTGAATATGTCCAGTGGCTAGTTCTCCTACAGACGTCAGTGTCTAAAGCTCTTGGCTGCTGGCTCACTGGGCTCAAGGGACATTGTCTGTTAGCTTTGGGAAGGGTTATTGTGTACAGGGGTGAACTCTATACACAGGAAAGGCTGGAAGGAAGGAAGGAAGGAAGTAGAAGCAGGTGGACAGGGCTTCTAGAAATAGATCAGCAGCTCACAGATTTAAGGACTAATCACCCAGGGGTGGGTCAAATAAATAAAGCAACCCAGGAATGCAAATAAACTCAGAAAACTAAAAGAAGAGCCATGGAATGGGGCAGGACTATTAAAGCAGTTTGAATACTGAGAAAGAAAGCAGTCATAACTTCCAGAAGAAAAGCAGAGGCTCCATCCCATGGCTCCTCAGAGAGCAGACCATTAACAAGATGACATAGGGAAGTTGCTGGAGGAGGTGGCTGAGGCAGAAGGTTTAGGGTGATGCCAACACAGTAATACAGTGTGACAGACCATAATCCACAAAAACATGAGCCCAATGAATACTGACCATAGCTGACCATACTGCTGGGTACCTCTTGAAATAAAGTTCCATGCTGGTGGCCTTTTAAAGCACTCTGAGCTGCACACCTGGTCAGACCCAAGATGTTCTAGGGAACACAGTATGAAGCAGCTTCTTCACTGTTGACTGTTGGGTAAGCCCTGGAGTCCAAAGGTGGCAAGGGGTGGGAAAGGGGCCCCCTCTCATCTGCCAGCTTTCCTTACATAGGCCCTCTAAAAGTGCCCTGCCCTAAATCACATGTACCTCGCCTGCTGAGGAGGGAAGAGTCTGATGTCACTTAGAGAGCCCAAGGCTTTCTGTGTAGAATATACTCTGATACAGCAAAGACTTAAAAATAAATATTACAATAGCTACTAAATCTAATTAAACACTCTCAGGATTTCTTAGGGCTGATGTCATCACTGTGAACAACATTTAATAGAGTACATAGTCAGGTAAGAGAATTGGATAAGATGTAAACTATTTTAAAAGTTTCTTTTTAAAAGTAAGTCCTTCGTGTTGGCCTCTTTTCCTCTCACATAATAGAGACTGAAATGTAGAAGCATAAATCTGGTGATCTCAGCTTTCCAACTACTTGAATTTAAAAGATAAATTTATTATTTTGAAGAAAATGCTCATTTCATAAGCACCCATTGTACCAGGTGACAGGATAGACAAAGGAAAAAATAGTGCACACCTTTGAGGATTTAAACCATTTCCTTAATTTCAGTACTACAATGTCCTTAGCAATATTGGTTGCAGTGAAATGTGTGGCCGGTATGAGCATGTCTTTTTATAACTCTTTAAATGAGCTGCCAGGATGAACTCTTTCCAAACCAATAGATGCTGTACAGTGTAAGGAAACTTTTTTTTTTAAATAAAAATCTGAAACTGTATTTGAATTGAAAAAAATTTAATGGCAGAAATAATTTCAGCTTCTTTCTGCACTTCCAAAAAAGAACAAAACCTTAAATCATTCCACAGGGATAGGTACTATTAAAGAATTAGATACTCCTATTCTGTAGATAGATACTACAGAAGAATTTTCACATATAGACCAGGGTTTCCCAACCTCAGCACTACTGACAGTTTGGACCAGATCATTCTTTGTTGTGGGGGGCTGCCCTATGCCTTGTAGGATGTTTAGTAGCATCACTGGCCTCTACCCACTCTGCCTAGTTGTGACAATAAAAAATGTCTTCAAATGTTGGCAAATGTCTCCGGGAGGATAAAACTAACCCCCAGTTGAGAACCACTGTACCAGATCCTCACAGTAATATTATATCAACATCAGATGTTTGCTTTCATGCGTCCCCCAGCTGCTTCACAAGAGCTTTCTGTCTCTTGTCCAATTTGATTTGTCTATTCCTGTGTCTCCTGACCCGTCTGGCAGACAAGTCATGATGCTAAGTATGTGATATCAGAGATAGCTCCTGGGCATCAGCCCACAGCAGCATCAACACAGGGTGAGTGTCTCAGAGCTGAGGAAAAGGGAATGTAAGCAGAAAGCCTTCATTGTAGTCACGGGCATCATCATGAATTAAAGTCACACAGGAAACAATTCCCAAAGACAGAGCAGGACAAAGAGCCCTTGTTCCTAAGCTGAAGATCCACATGAAGTCTTCCTTGTAGGAGTATCCTGCAGGCTCATCTTTGACTCACAGCTGAAAGTGCTTTCACAGGACAATGCACATAATCTGAACCTCCCACATGTAGAGGCAGTAGGCAATTCAGAGGAGAACTAGTATCTTGTCAAGAAGATATAAAGCCAAACACTGATGCTTACTTTTTCCTCTACAGCAGAATTACCCAGTGAACATATTCTTGACAACTACTTGTTGCTAGTCTCTAATCATCCAGCAGGTGACCTACAAGAGCATATTCCTTAATATATCAGCAAAGAAGCAATGTTTTTTATTCATAAAAAAGTAAAAATTTATTGGGGCTTCAGGCTATTTTAAATTTAATCATATGTTTCCATAAAAAGACCATGAAAAAGGATCTGAAGAAAAATAATCACTATTACTGTCACACAGAGTTTACCAATATGTACTTACCATCTAGAACTTCTTCAGAAAACCCTGTTTTCTCAAAATCACTGGTATTCTGATTGTACAAACCAAATAGAAGATAATTTGCCAGCTCTCTGCAGCCTTCATTGTACCTGCTATCAATTCCTGCAAGGCAAAGAAGACTCTGATCAGCTGTACTATGGGGAGCAAACGAGCCCAAATAGTTTGTCCCTGCTCAGCAAAACCCTAATGCAGTGATGGCAAACCTTTTGAGCTCGGCGTGTCAGCATTTTGAAAAACCCTAACTTAACTCTGGTGCCGTGTAACATATAGAAATTTTTTGATATTTGCAACCATAGTAAAACAAAGACTTATATTTTTGATATTTATTTTATATATTTAAATGCCATTTAACAAAGAAAAATCAACCAAAAAAATGAGTTCGCGTGTCACTTCTGACATGCGTGTCATAGGTTCATCATCACTGCCCTAATGAGTAAGTAAAAGGTAATAACCTAGACCAGTCTGTAGCAGAAACCAAACTAAGCACCTCTCTGTGAAAAAAGCAGGCCTCAGCACCAAGTACCCTTACTTGGATTCAAGAGACAGTCAAATAGCACATATTACTGAAACTGTTAATTGCCAAAAAGCAATTCTTGAGGATAGAAGAAATCAGAAAATATAATTTAAGTCCTATCATGGCTGGTTAAAGATTTTGAAATATTTTCAGTTGGAATAGGAATAGGTGTCAGGAAAATATCACTTCTCAAAAAGACCGTTACCAAAACATGTGGGATCAACTAAAGGAGAATTAAGATGATTTGAAACAAACTCAAAGAAGTGAAGAGGACAAGTGACTGGAACCACACATACCTAAAATTTCACAAATATTTATTAGGCGTAAGGCACTGTGCTGGATACTAGTGTGTGTGCTGGGCCTACAAATGGCCCTCATCAAGTTTATAGTCCATTGGGTTGGGTCAGAAATAAAAAGGAAATGAAATAACAACTGCCTTCACTACTGCCTTTCAATGCCATAGACCAGGGGTCCTCAAACTTTTTAAACAGGGGGCTAGTTCACTGTCCCTCCGTTGGAGGGCCGGACTATAGTTTAAAAAAAAACACCTATGAACAAATTCCTATGCACACTGCACATATCTTATTTTGAAGTAAAAAAACAAAACGGGAACAAATACAATATTTGTATTTGCATGTGGCCCGCGAGCTGTAGTTTGAGGACCCCTGCCATAGACACATATACTACCTGGTTCCTGGGTATCTGTGAAGGCCCAGAGCTCAGGGATGTGTTAACGGCAGGAGCCAGCTGTCTGTGTGAGACTGAGAAAGAGGATTTGGGGCAGAAGGAGCTCCAAGAATGAAAATATGGCTGGAGCCTGGGAAAAAGAACTGTCAATGGTCATTCAGAGCAGAGAGGCCTCGGGACTGCCTATGTCAGAGGACTTCTAATATGGGAGGACTCCTTTCTCAGCTGCGATAAAAGCAGCACAGTGCTGTTCTTTCCCATCCAACAGTTCAGTGAAGGGAAGGGTGAAAAAGAATCAAAAGCAGGAATAGCCTGGCTTACATAACGCCAAAAGTTGAAAGGGCTACGAAGTTAAAAATAACCAGTGGACTGGATAGGCCTAGCATGTCCCCTTCTAAGGGTTCCAGTTACATAAATTGCCACATAAATTGCTAACATTAAAAGACTGACCATGTAAAATTAAAGATAAAAGAAACTATATGTAAGTACTGTGCTCTAATTGATAAAGTTGTTTCCTATAGGGTATTATGGGTTAACAAATCTGATACTACTACACAGGTATACTGGAATTAAATGGATGGTAAGTGGTAGGTGCCATGTTTCTCAGTGGTGGAATGGAAGTTTATAGATAAGATAGAAGAGGATGCCCTAGCAGGTTTGGCTCTGTGGATAGAGCATCAGCCTGCAGACATAAGGTTCGATTCTGGTCAAGGGCACATTGGCAAGAGGCAGCCGATCAATGATTCTCTCTCACCATTGATGTTTCTATCTCTCTCTCCCCTTCTCCTTTCCTCTCTGAAATAAATAAAAAAATAAAAATAAATAAATAAATAAATAAGAGGAGACTAGACTGGTCCATATGGTAATGGGTTAGAGCTAAAGACATTAATATAAATGCATATTTAACTTAATTTAAATACAAATGATTACACAACATTTACAGATGTGCGTATACACACCAGTTAATGTACACATATATTTCCTTACTCTGTCAGCTGAGAGGGCCTAGAAGCAATGATATCCGAGCAACAATTACTACACTCAGATTGGTTTTTAATACCATTCTCCAGTAAAAGAAACCAGGGCTCCTTAGAGAAACAGCTGATTTTAGGACTGGAATAGGAACTATGCACAATAAGCCTGGAGCATCTAAGAGTGCCAGAAACTACAAAAGTACTAAACAAACAAACAAACAACTTTGGAGGGAGTGTATCAAAGGGAAGGACATAGACACAGGAGCCAGTTGAAAGAGCTCCAAATGGCCAAAGCTGGATCAACTCGAACTATAAAATAAATATCCACGAGTCCATATGTATACAAATAATTGTGTAAATAAATAAATGTGGGAGGAGAGACAAATCTCCCATGCAGAAGAATTTCAATAATTTATGTAAATACTCCCATCTCAGGTGATGGAGCATAACTCCTGGCTCCTTAAGAGTGGGCTACATAGTGACTTCCTTCCAAAGAGGACATAGGAAAGGAGAGCTGGAGAGAGTATTTCATAGTGCAGAACCTGAAAACACTACCTTAGCCAGGTGATCAAGGCTAATAGAAACAGTGAAAAGTAATGCTGATAGTATGTATCCTTGATATCATGTGATGAAAATGGCATGTTACTTTACTGGTCTTCCACCTCAAAACTCTTAACCCCATTCTGATCGTGAGAAAGATAAGAAAAACCCTATTAGAGAGACATGCTACTTGACTAGCACTCCTGAAAACTGTCAAGGTCATCAACAAGGAAAGTCTGAGAAACTGTTACAGTCAATAGGAGCTTGAGAAGACATGGTAACTAATTTAACATGGTATCTTGGATGGGATCCTGGAATAGAAAAAGATTCTCTCTCATCACTGATGTTTCTGTCTGTCTCTCTCTCTCTCCTTTTCCCTTCCTCTCTCCGAAATAAATAAAAACATATTTTTAAAAAAAGAATATACAAGTCTCAAGGGATTGAGCAAAAAAGAAAAAAAAAAGAAGAGAAAGAACTCATTGACATGGAGTAATAGTGATTGGGGGGGGTGGGAGTGGGTGAAGGTGGAGGATGGTTAGGG